CCCCCACCCTGGCTTACAGGACCCCCTCCTGCATGGAAGCTCTTCTCCCAGATATGGATAACTCCTCACATCCTTCCCGTGTTTGCTTTGCTCAGATGCCACCTCCTTAAGAAAGCCCATCTTATTTAAAGTATCACTTGCCTCCACTGCTCCCTAACACCCCTGGCCCCCTTACCTGGTGCTGTGCTTCCCCCCCACCCCCCAAAGCACTCCAGCATCTTCAAATATACTGTTGACTTCCTCATTTTCTGTACTTACTGTTCCTTGTCTATTTAGTCCTCTCTAGAAAGTCCGAGGGCTTTTTGTTTTGGCCACCCATGCATCCCAGGTGCTTAATACAGTGCATGACACGTGGAAAGTGGGACTATAAATGCTGTGGAATGAATGACTGATTGATGGTTCTCAGAAGTGGTGGGAAATCCATTTTCTGAGTGGGAGGGGGCACCGTAGCCTGGCAAAGGCAAGGAAGAAAAAAGAGATGGGTTCCAATGTAGGAAATATTTGGAGGGATATTGGGATAAATGAGGCATCTGGTGAGGGAAATGAGAATGGATTCCTGAGGCTTAAAGGAATTAGAGATGATGGGTCACAGGTGAAAAACTCTCATGGATTCCCCTGAAATTCAAGTGTGGATTACCTGCAAATAGAACACAAGCCTGATAATCCATGTCTTGTGATGACTGTATGTCTAGAAAAATCTGGGAAGGCCTGGAGCAGAACCCATGGATGCAGGAATTTCTAAAGAATCCTGTGGGACTGGGAAGAAGATCTTAGAGCTATCCATTAGCAATCTGGAGCAGAAGGATGTGGGTGGAGGGAGCTACCTCCAAGACCAAGAACTATTGTTCACATAACTTGCCGTCAATGCTGGTTGTCATCTGAGTGCAGGGTTACACCAGAACTGTGCTTCTGGCATAGGCCTATTGAAGCCTGTGCTTGCTGTCATTGGGTTGTTCCTATTGGTTGTTGCCGTGAGTCTAATCATATCTGGGGAAGGAGTGCACTGACAATGTCTGTGGGCTATAAGTTACAATTAGACTAGGGAGATGGTCTTGGATAGAGACCAGGTCCTCCAAGTTATCCCAGCAGGGGTTTTAGAGAGAATGTCATTGGCTTGAGTGCCACATTTGTCTAACCTTTCACAGCACTTTTACATAGAGCTTTTAAATAGATGCTCTTATGTGAGCTTCAAAAGCCACTGCTGTAAATGTCATATTCTTTTGACAGATGAGGAAGTTAAGTCTTAGGGCATTTTGGTAACCAAAGAAGCTAGACTCAAAAAATTGCCAGTTTTCTGACTTCAAGCCCAGCCCTTACTTTTCCCAACCACCCTTGGGTGATGTTATATTTGTTCTTTCTGTTCAAAGATATTATTTGTGTGGGAGAAGGGAGAAAGTAGCCCAGAAATAAGTGTTGTGTTTTGGACACCCTCTCTGGCTCTCTGTCACAGACACTGCTGCCATCTCCTCATAGACGATCCTTCAGTGTGACTTTATAAACACCCAAGGTCCTCAACAGGGGAGAGAGCAGAGCATGACACTGTGGGATGGAGGGAGGCTGGGAGCAGAGAGAGGTGCACAAGGCAGCTAAGAAGTTATTTCTTATTTAGAAAAAAATTCTTTGTGGTTATTTAAATTATAAATTACAGAAAGTAAAATTTGAATAAGTTCTGGCAGGTGTGAGGACTCCAGGGGGGACGTGTGAGATTTGTATGTTTATAAAAAGATACCATGAGTTAAGAGATAGAGGGACTCTGGCCTAGGCCAAGGTGAACTGGTCACACACAGGAGGCCTAGATTCCAGCTCTGGGACAGTAAAGAGACTAAATCTCTCCATCGTGACCTTTAGCACCAGCAACTTGGGGATGAGGTGGTTTTTTTTTTTGTTTGTTTTTGTTTTTGTTTTTGCCTGATACATTCACAGGAGAGTTAAGAATTAAATGAGATAAAAGCAAAAGTGAATTGTAAATAGAAAACCACTGTACAAATGGAAGAATCTGCTTGATGGTTTCAGGCTCCTCCCTTTTCCTGCCCCTACCTCCCTACTCCCCCAGTATAGCCACTTTTCCTACAGAAATTTGATATCCTAGGACACATATATGTACACACACACACACACACACGCACACACACACATTTACCTTTTGTTTTTCTTTTGAAAGCATGAATATTTTGAGATAGCATGGCAGGTTGATGCTATATATTTTATCAGTGTTTTACTCCACAAAGGAGCCCCTGGGACCACAACGGGTCCTCTTTGCCATTGTTGGAAGCAGCTTGCTGTCCTTCTTGTAATTTTCTGTCATGGGGTTCTGAGCCCCTATGCATAGACTTTCTTTCCTGTTACCATTCCCGTGGTGCCCCCAGTGCCAAGTACTGCATGGCACAAGCTTTGGCCTTTAAGCTCATGGTCTGGAACAGCATCAGGGAAACACCTCAGGGCTCATCAAGCCTGCAAAACTGGGAGTCCACTCAGGAAGGGAGGAGGCTAGCAGCATTTGCAGGAAGCCTGTTTTTTTTTTTTTTTTTAATAATCTGAAGAGTTACCAGAAGAAGTCAAGGTAAAGTGTACACAAACACGTGCACTCGTGCACACACGCATGCTCACACACATGATAAAGACAGTCTGAAGTTCTTGGAGATAAAGGGGCATTCAAATCTGGAGCAATAGGGTGAGCAGGGCAGGGGCCAGGGGATATGGGAGAGGATGTATGGAAGGGTAACAGCCTCCTTCCAAGTCTGGCTGGAAGGGAGCAGACAGAGACTTCTAATCTGGGAGAATCAAACCAATAAAATGACACATCAATTCAACTTTTTGGGAGAGGGTAAGGATGCACAGGGGATGGGGGACTGGGGGGATAGAGTTTCAAACATCTTACATTAAAACTCTAAAGTGTCTGCTCTGTGCTATTATTCAATGGTTCAATGCATCAAAGTTTTATGCAAACATTATCAAGTCTCTTAATTAAGGAAAAATAATGACAAAAAATTAAACAACACATGTTAAAGACTGACTGCAAGAGGGCTTGCCTATAGATAAAGAGAGAAGATTTAAACATGCCAAGTAACAAAAAGACATGTGCAGGAACTGGTAGGAACTGTATAGGAGGAGGCAACTCTTGGGAGGAGAAGGAGGCAGGAGGCCTTAGAGTGCAGAGGCTGGGGTTCAGTCTGAGGCCAAGGAGCCAGGGAAGGTTATAAGAAGAGGATGGTTTGGAGGAGGAAAAACCAGGCAGGTGCACCATACAGTTCTCTGTGTAGGTTCATGTTGGAGTGAGGTGCCCACATGGAGCCTGCATCCACTGCAACCCAGAAAAAAAGTCTACCCAGAAGGGCTGTCAGTGGATCACCCAACCACATGGCTCCTTAGTTTTTCCAGAGAAGTGGGTAATAGCAAGCTTTGGAATGTGATTGGTTTTCTTCTCCCAAATGAGCCTAGAAGGGACCGGCTTCATGGGCTGCTCATGTTAAACTGAAACAGATTCCATTCAACACGAAGATAAGCAGGTGGTCTTGGGAGAAGGCAGGCTATGGCTGACAATGCAGGCAGAGTCATAGCCTCAACTCAGCATGCTCCACTTTGTGAGAGCTCCTTTCCAAGATGCTATGTGGATGGAAAGGCAGAGGGGGGAGGTAGTGGTCTGGAGGTGAAGATGGGGGTTAGAAGAGGTTTGGGTCCTGGCCTGAGAAGCTACCCAGAAGTCATAAACAACCCTTCATTTTCTCACTCCACAATTCAACAGAGCTGCATCCTTCTATACAGTGTGAGTCATGCCAGGCTGATTGGAAAGGAAGAGAGAAAAAGATGCAGCAATCAACACTTAAAAGGAAAAGGGAAGTCCTAATGCGTTCCAAAAGTTAAAACAAACAAACAAAAAAGAATGAAAAAAAAATCTCAAAACAAAGCAACAAGAAAAAAATTCTTTAAACCAATTCAAATCAATAAAAATGAAATAAAAATAAGGAGGTGGGGAGGAGAAAATAAAAATGATGGACAAAAACAAACCAGGGAGAGACAAATGAGTGTTAGAGCAGGCACGGACAGTTAGGTCACAGACGCCATGTACTTACGTTTACCTCGGTGATTGCTATATCAACAATGCTACCCACAACAATCAAGGCGTCAAATGTATTCCATGCATCACAGAAATAGTGCTGCATGGGGCAGAGAAGCCGAGGAAAAGAGAGAGAGGAGGGGGGGAAAAAAAACAAACCAACAACAAAGGAGAAAAACAAAACAAAAAGGGAAGAGGGAAAATGAAAAAAAAAAAGGTATGAAAGAAAGGAGAGAAGAGAAAAAAAATGAGAAAAGAAAGAGGTTACGTGGGCATATTAAATACTCTCTTACCACTCTATAGTTCTGGCCGATCCAACCTGGGCAACCTGGTTTTCGCGGGTGGAGAGGCCTGACAAAGCAGGGTTAGTTCCAAGGTGACGCAGGCTGGGGCCACCTGGGAGGGGAGCTGGGAGGTGCCTTGGGCCACACCCCCTGCTCCCTCCGCTGGAGCTCTTGGGCCCAGCACCGCCAGGCAGAGCTGGGATAAGTGGAAAAAAAGGAGGACAAACTCCCACTTTTTTTCCCCCACAGGACGACGGCAGGTTCAATAAAAAGCATGACTGGAGGCGGGTAAAACAGGAAATTAAAAAAAAAAAAAACATAAAAGGAGGTAGAGAGAGAGAAAGAGAGAGAGAGAGGAACAGAGGAGGCGGAAGAGGTGGAAGGAAGAGGTTTCCTGGGGAGGGCAGAGTAATACTCACATTAGTTTCACTGAGAATGACATCAATTATGCTCCCAATCACGATGAGGAAGTCAAAAACATTCCAGGGATCACTAAAGTAACCCTACATGAGGGAGGGGCAGGCAGGATGGGGATTAAAAAGGAGTATTAGACAGACAAGAACAGAGCAACATCACCATCAGAATCATTGTCCAGGCACCTGAGTGTCGCTGCTGCAGGTTCTGAATACCCTCAGTCTGGCCAGGAGGGCTGGAGCCCAGAAGGGGAGGAGCAGAAAGGAGACATGGGGTCCAGCCTTCCTGCCCCGCCTTCCCTTGGTCACACAGTTCTCATCCTAACAGTTATCCCACCTCTCAGCCCTTTTCACAGAGGCCCATTCCACATCCCAGCAGGGGCAGGAGTGGGTGTGGGTGTGGACAGCAGGGCCCTGCAAGCCACAGTGGTGCAGTGACATGGCCACACTCTTTTCAGTCCCTGTTTCAGCCTCTCCTACACCTCTGGCTCTTTGTATTAGAAGGACCTGTGGGAAGGAGGGGACACAGGTGTGTGCCTCTTTACAGGGGAATGGCCCTATCATTATCTTAGGTGATAATGGCCATGAAAAAGGCCCCAAAACCTTAGCGATCAGCATGGCCAGAGGGGTGACCAGGTTATCTGGGCTAAGAGGTGACTCATGTAAAGCTCAAGAACAAATCCTGGAAACAGAATCTATAGTATCTATAGTAAGCTGGCCTCTATGGCATCAAGTGGGCTAACCCTTGCTCCTACGTCAGACCTGCCCACGGTCTCCAGGGGCAGTTCTGCCCTGGCAAAGGCTTAACTAATTGAAAGGAGACAACGTTGAGGTCAGTCTACAGTCCAGTAATGTCTCACAGGGCTCTAGACGGCACTGTCAGGGGTGCCTCCTAAGGACCTCCCCAGGTTCCTTTCCCAACATTAGCATGCTCTGATGTAAGGTCCCACCAAAATGCAAGTGCCACCCACAGTGAGTGAAGTTACCAAACCCTTGGAACAGGTTTGACGGGGTGGGCTGGGTAGCAAATATGGGGACACTGGCTTCTTAGAAAGGGAACCAAGGCAGTAAAGCCATGGAGGGGAAATACTGGCACAGAAGGGGAAGATCAATGTCCCAGCTTTATCGCTTCACTCTGTTGACAGGATTTTTGTTTATTTCTTTCTTACCAAATTTGAGGAAGGAAAATAATGAATATTCATGAAAGACTACTTGGACAACTGGTCAACCAATAGGTTGTTCCAGATGCCCTGGAGGCTCATACAGATGGGTAAGCACTTTAAAAAGAGCAGATGAGGTTCTTGGGTCTGTACCCTTTACCTCTCTGGGGACCTAGAGAGCAATGCATGATTTGTTACTTCATGGGGCATACAGCCACGGTTCAGGAAACTCTGGTAATGGGACAGTCCTGTGCCCCATGGGTGGAGTGTAAAAAGCCTTCTTTAAGAAGGGACATTTGCTCCTTTAGTATTTTGGGAAGTGTACTGCAAAAGGAAAAGGCATGGCTGGCCCCATTTTTTTTTTCTTTCTCAGCAGGGCCAGCATTTCCCTGTTCTCTGGCTTCCAGGAGATAGCAATCTGGAGTTCAGCTGGTGAGAGGGTATGAAAGCAGGAAGTGTCCTCTGAAAGGTTCCCAGATCTTGCCCCAGCTCTCTTGAAGGCTGTCAACTCTCCCATTTTATTTTTTCTCACACAAGAGCCAAGCCTCTGTGTTCTTCCGTTTCCTCCTGACTCTATCCAGTTCCCTTAACTTCTCCACTTCCCACCATGCCCTTTATCCAGAGGGACAGCAAGGCATGCTGTCCTAGGGCTGTAATTCTTCGAGTGGGAGGTCAGGTCATAGGGAAAGTGGCCTCTTGGTTCCCAGGCTTTTCTGCCAAAAGAAAATAAACGCCACCTCCGAGACTTTGGACAGCTAGACCCAGGAAGCAGAGGGTGGCCAGGGCTGGGTCAAGGGAAGTTTGGCTTGAAGCCAGGGTTTTCTTGTTGGCTTTCCAGAGTATTTTCTGAATATCCTGGGGCCTTTGAGGCGGCAAGGACTTCTTTCTCCCGGAGAAGTCCTATGCTAGGAGATGGAAGCAACCAAGTCCCTCCCAGTTCTCAACTGTCATTCACAGGGCAAAAGGGGAACACTGAATTTGTCAGGGAGGGAAGTTGAGAATAAAGACCCCAAATGAACTAGACACCTGTGTGTGTTTTACAGTTAGACTTTGGAAAACTCTGGGGGCTATCTCTAGATGTGAATACCATCTTTGTGAATAGAGATGTTTCAGAACAGAGAGGAGAGAGGTCAGGAAAGAGAAGGGAGAAGGACAGGAACAAGAGCAGATCCAGAGATGCTCAGCACCAACCTAGAAAACGTGGTAACCAAAAGTTATTGAGGTGCAGGGGCCGGAGGAGAGATAGGAGGGTAGAAATCTCAGTGCGCAAGGAAGGAGGATGAGTTGGAGACTTTTCATTCACCAGAGAGACCTGAAACAAAATGGGTAAGTTGGCCGTGGTCTGCAACATCTCTGAGAGAGGAGAGAGGGGAGGGAAGAAAGGCAGAGATCACAGCAAAAGCTGCACGTTGAAAACCAGACACACACACACACACACGTAGTTAATCTGCTGGCGCACACCAGGGGAAGGGGCCAAGATTTAAAGGGACCCTGTCAACCTCCAGGCTGTGCACCCCTTGGATTTCTTTGTACATGTGCAGACAGAAGGAAACCTGTCAGTCAACTTCTTCCTGATCTCCACCCTCTCCCAACCATGGCCCCATGCCAGACTCCACTGAATCTGCTGGAATCTGTTGGGATCAGTGTTTCATGGTCACCCTTGTCCTCCTCAGGCTGTACTGCTAGGGATTTTGGTTGACTTCTCTGTCCTGTGGAGAGCTACTGGTGACTTGCCACTGGCAGCAGAAACTAGTCAGTTCCCTCATTGCTAAGGGTTCCTCAGGGACACAGCCCTTTGGAGAGTCACACAGCTGAAATGAAGGGGTGGGGCACATGTCTAGGAGGGTGAACAGAGTCCCTTTGAGAGGCAGCTTTCCACCTGGACCCATCCACCCACATTCCCGTCCCTCATCCCACAGCCCATCAGTCCTCCAAGATGGACCTTGAAGATGGTTTCAGATCCAGTTTTTTAAGTCTCTGTTCCCTTTGTCACCCTCTTCCTCCCACCATTTCAACATCACCTTCTTCCAACGTCTTCCACACCCAGTTCCAGAAACAAAGCCCATATCTGCCATTTCGCCCAACAGGTTGTCCAGGGGCAACACGCGGCCAACTCCCTGGGGCCTCGGAGGGATATTTTTTCCCTACACTCTGGAGTGTGAGAGCTTGATGCCTGTCTCTTTCTATCTCTGTCACATACACACACACACGCATGTGCACACACACACACACACTCTCACCTGCATTGGCCCACCCTCTCATTTGCTGGAAAGCATTGGTAATTGGGGCTTGGGGGTGTAATAGAGAAGGGGGGTGGGAAAAACCATAAGACTTCCTTTTATAAGATCAGTTTCCTCTGGTGACTGGGTACCAAACAGTTGGGAAGTCAGGAATGGTTGGAAACAGGTTTTCCTGACTTTCCTTGAAGTGGCAAACCAAACCTCCTCCTGTCCAACTCCTCAGAACTCCACAAGCCAAGCAGGGTGGCTCAGTCAGAAGGGATGGTCTATCACAGCTGGAAGCCTTCCCCTGGCCATCGCCAATCCTACTGATTGAGTGGATTTCCCTTTCAATCCCCAGCCTCTGGCCATGCTAGGGAAGGTCACATTCACCCAGCTGGCAAGCAGCCACCACCCAGGGCAGAATCCAGTCTCTGATTAGAGCTGAACTTCTACTCACTGACTGGTGTGGGCTGAGAAAATGTAGACCCAATTGATATTAATTTCACCAAATCATTATTAGGAAAAAAATGGCTGCAAAAGCATCTTATGATGTATTTCACATGCACATGAATTTTGGATTTTCTTCTTCTTCTTGTAATTTGTGCCTGGATTCGGCTCTGTCATTGGAAGTACATCAAGTTGAAAGAGGCAGTATAGTGGTTCAGAGTATTATCTTTGGAGGTAGATTGGTTCAAGTCCTGCTCTGCCACTCACTAGCTGGGTAACTGTTAGCCTTCTGTGACTATGACAAAATACCTGAGATAATAAACTTAATAAGGAAAAAGATTTATTTTGGTTCATAGTTTTAGAGGTTTCGCAGTCCATGGTTGCTTAGCTATGTTGCTTTGGGTCTGTGGTGTCACATTGATCATGGTGGAGGAGGCCTATTCACCTCATGGCAAGCTGGGAAGTGACAGGGAAGGGTAAGACTGGAGTCCTAGTGTTCCCTTCCTTCCACTAGGCCCCCACTTCTTAAAAATTTCACCACCTCCCAGTAACACCATGGGTTGGTGATTGAACCTTCAACACATGGGACTTTGGAGAATATTCAAGATCCAAATTATAGTAGTCACTTTGAGCAAATAACTTAACCTGCCTGTGCCTCTGTTTTCCCAGATAGAAAATGGGGTCAACGATAGGGTTAAGGTAAGGATTACATAAGGCCATATACGCAGAGCATTTAGAACTGGGCCTCATCTGAAATAAGCTTTACATTAAGTACTAGCTATGGTTATTATTAACTAGTGTTGATCTGCCTCCCTCCTAGTTAAGTAAGATTCACAGTTTCAGTCTGGGGTATGGGATTAAGCAGAGGGAAAAGCAAAACCAGGTGGGTAGAAGAAGGCGGGAAGGGATTTTAGGTTTTGGAATCTTGAACTCCCCTTTAGTCCATTTCTAAGACCTTTTCTGCCCATTCTCTGGGTCACTAGCATTAAGACACTCTTAAATGAATTCTGGTTGGTGCTCTTAGAGGTGGATGATGATATGCAGGCTGTCATGGGTAAATTCTGTTAGATTTCAGTTCATATAGGTGGTTAAGTGCTGGGTTCTTATAAACTGCTATTGGACCAGGGAAAACACGAGTTACTCTCCCTGAGAAGAGGGTGGGCTGTCAGGTGGGCTTGTCTCCAACTCTGATGCCAGGGAGCAGGACTGCTGTGGGAGCGGTTATGGGCATAGGCATTTGTCCTGGAATTTTTGATTCTTA